TTCAAAAGCATGGGATGATATCGATCCAGCACTTATTTGACGTTCATTTAAGTGTTGTGGGATTTCTAACAATCGAGATGGTTCTGAAGACAGACAAATCTTTGATTATGATTCCATAACAAGAGACAATTCTATGCTACATATTATCATTGAGAAAGAAAATAATGAATTGGGTGGGAATTATGAAAGTTCTAGTGAATCAGTTAGAAATTGTGAAGATTTAAACAAATTAGTTGTAAATTGTGAAGATTCAAATGAATCAGGTGAAAGCTGTGAAGAGTCAAATAAATCAGGTAGAAACTGTGAAGAGTCAAATGAACTTGTTAGAATTCGTAATGAAAGTGAAAGGTCTGGTCAATTTTTTTGTAAAAACGATCTTATTTTAGATTTTGGGGATGAAAATTTTGATGAGTATTATAATAATTCTGAAGTAGAAAGCTATTCTAATTCCTGGGTTTAAAATATTTTAATGATTGGAATGTTATATCAAGAATTCTAGCAATTACCATAGACAATACAACAAGTAATAATGCCGTGATTACTAATTTAAAATACAAACTTAATAAGCAAAACATGCTTGTTGCTGAAAAAAGTTTATTGCATCAACAATGCTATACTTATATATTAAATCTCATTGTTAATAATAGTCTCAAAATGGTTAAAAATATTGTTAGCAAAATTAAAAAATATGCAAAATGGATTCACAGTTCGCAGTCTTGGTTATAAAACTTCAAGAATGCAATCGTTGGGTACTGTCCTGAGCTTGTAACAAGTTAAAGACCAGCTTTTGATATATCTACTTATTGGAATTTTGTTTACTTTATATTAATATCTACTATTCTATATAAAAGAGTATTCAAATATCTTGCATTGTGGGATATTAACTTTGACAAATCATGCCTTCTAAAGAAGACTGGGAAAGAGCTAGGAGTATTTCTAATTTCTTAAGACCATTTTACAAAGATAATAGTAAATTTATTATTGCATTTATGCAAAATAATGCCTATAGGTATCATTTTGTACAAATACAATAATGAATTTTATTAAAAATATATACTAACAAGTTAACTGAATACAGTTACAAATATTATATCAGGAAGTATGTATTTGATAGTAAATATTTTTCTTCTTTATCTTATAAAAATTAAGTTATATCTTGAGCAAAATACTGATAATATAGATCTTTTTATTTGTTAAATGATCATACCAATGGAATTCAAGTTTGATAAATACTGGGTAAAAACTGGAGATATGCACTGTATTGTGTTAATAATAGATCCTTATTATAAAATGTCATTACTAACTCATATTTTTAAGTATAAAATGCACTTGTTATTTACTGAGGCCAAAAATAAACTTGATTTTATTAAAAAAAGATAGCTAACTTAGTATAATATTTTTAGATATAAATTTTATTATAATTTAATAACTATTTATTTTATATAGAGCTATAGATCTACATATACTCAAGATATGAATGCTTCTAATAATTATTATGGTTACTCTAATTTTAATTCGCAAGATGATAAATTAATGCAAAACTTCAACCAATATCTTGCAACAAATCAAATTAATTGGTGATCCACCAGTTAACCAGAGAATTATTATAGTAAAATATGTAGATTTTCTGAATATGGAGTATACACATTTAAAATATTTTTTTATACTAAGTTAATTACTCTTCTGGCTTAAGAGACTTTGTAGAGCCCGCCAAGACGCATCTAATGGTGGGTAGAGCATCAAAATCGGCCTTGTGAGTGCCAAAATATCTTTAAAAATCCCTTCTTTTACTATGTAAATTTCTTTGTAAACAATAGTATTGTTTGCAAAAAATTTTACATAGTAAAAAAAAGGTTTTTTAAAGATATCTTGGCACTCACAAGACCGATTTTAACACTCTACCTACCATTAGATACGCTCTACAAAAGTATCTTAAGCCAGAAGAGTATCGTAATTTTTGGTATATAGTATCTCTTTTTAGTATACCCCCCATAATTTGTACCTGGGACTAATCAAGTATTTATCACAAACAAGATTGTAAAAGACCCGGGTATATCTAAACGTATGTTGATTGGTTGAAGCTTTCGAGACTCTGGTTGGTTGGTTCTAATTTATACCTTTACTATCCCTT